CCATTACTTTGGAATGGTGAAGGGGTAGGATATCATGGTAGGGAGCATGAGGCAGGGCAAAGCTGTTCACTTCATGGTAACAGAGAAGAAAAGACAAAGAAAGGGGCTGGGCTCCCTAAAGGTTCCACCACTCCCAACACAACCAGCATCTGAGGACCATGTCTTTAACACACTTGACTTGGGGGAATAGTTATGATTCAAACCATAACAGATTATTTGTTTTCTTAGACTTTTAGTAGGGTTCAACAGTTAAATGTAGCAGTCTCCTATTTCCATTATATAAATACTCCCATTATGAACAATTAAAAGCTATTTTAGATTTACTTTATTTTGCCATATGCTTGCCTGGTGCCTACATAAGCCAGAAGAGGACTTCAGATCCCGTGGAACCAGAATTACAGATGGTTGTGAGATACCGTGTGAGTGTTTGGACTCGAACCTAGGTCCTCTTCAAGAGCAAGTGCTTTGAACTGCTGAGCCATCTCTCTAGCCCAAGATGGACAGTTTTAATCGACCAGCAGTGCTCGCACTAGAGGCAAAATCCATCAGTTCTCCCCAGCCTGTGCAAGCTGGCTACAGCGTTGCTTAAGTTTATCTCGTTACAAATTAGACATTCTATTTAAGAATCTCTAGGGGAATATAGATCACATGCTTAACCTTAAGTAGAATTAAAATGTTTAAAGGAATTTGAAGTTGGTAATCGCAGAGCTTGAAGAAATCTTGTCACCGTCACGGTGAGGTTAAGCAAATGTGGAATGGCTGGCCCTAGATGTGACGCACACCTGAAAGATGTAGAAGAATGATGTGTTCTCATCCACCAATGTGGCTTCATCTCACTGACAACTTCAACTGCTGCAAAGGACCAAGAGAAGAAAAATGAAAACTCAGGAGGGACAATCCTGATTTTTATTCTAGGAATTCAATGTATGTGCACAGCTAATATGTCTCAGTGAGGTGGTGGAGAGCACACACAGGAGGGTTTCAGTTTCTGGACTTCCCCACTTCTTTCCACTTCTGGTCGTCCCCAACCCCCAGAGTAGAACGGCACAGTGACTGCTGCTCAGGCAGATGGAACATGGTTACACTCGTGTAAAAGTGAATCCATCCACTCCCCATGAAGTATAATGGACCATATGTCTGTTAGCAGTGTTCTGGCTTGTACCCTGCCCTCTGAGTTTCTTGGACTACAGGAAACCTTTGCTCAAGGACAGCCACATCACATCACTTCTAATGGAGTCTTGGACCTTGACTCCCAGGTGCTGGTCAGGTTCCATATTACTAAACTGTTACTGCTCAGATCTCTACAAGCTTGGTAGTTAACACTCACGATACAGCTCAGTCTGACCTCGACTCCTGGCCAAGTGATGCTCCCAGTGGTGCCCTTTCCAACAGAGATTAAGGTTCATGTCATATTCTACACCCTCACATATGGTAGAGAGGATGACTCATGCCTACATTGGTTAATAAGTAACTCTCAAGACAGAAAATTCAAGGTTAAGGGAGTGAACAAAACTACAGAGATATTGCTGTCTTTTCCTCTCTTGCTGTATTCCATCCTTCACGGAGCTTTGTTGAAACGGGCATATGAATTTTATCGAATCCTTCCATTAGAAGTCTCTTACTTTACTTTGCATAAAGCAACAACGTCAGAAGAATCTCAGACATCACATAGCTCAGTTTTCTGAGAATTCTGTGAAATTCAGGAATCATATCCATGACATACCTGCCCAGACAAGTTTTTAAGGCTTGTGTGGGAGGATGTCAGTAATCACGTAGTTGTCCAGGTAAGGAAAATGGTGGTTCGCCCAACTGTTGATCGCCCCCATGAAAGAAAGGCACTGAAAGGATAAACGGCGCAGGTGGGTCGGCGGAAGAGTCACGGCCACGGCAGAACCCAATATTAGTTTTCAGAGCTTTAATGGGGGGGCGGGGGCAGACCTGGCAGGGGAGGGAAGTGGGGCAGAGCAGACAGCAGAGAGGAAACAGAAAGAGTGTGTGTGTGTGTGTGTGTGTGTGTGTGTGTGTGTGTATGGGGGGGTCTCTGTGCAGTTTTTTAAGGTGGAGATTGTGTGACCACACAGTGGTATGCAGTCCCCGGCGCCCCCCTGATGATGGAAGACCCGGAAGAGTGACAGCAGGATCCTAACAGGTTCCCCTAGTTAGGCAATGAGCTTCTTAGACAAGCCACTGAGGGCTTCACTTCAGGAGTACCTGAAAACGCCCACTAGGAAGGGGCCCTACCACTGCAAATTCAGTTTGAAAGTGATTGGTGTGAACAAGTGCATGACAATCCAAGCAGGCTTAGACAAGCTGGGGTCAAACCCAATTAATAAAAAGAATAAGATATGAATAGATAATAATGGTGATAACATTTACCAAATATTAATATAGGAAGAGATCAGGTTCTCCTAGAATGTGTGGTATTTACTAATCATTTATTTTTCACAACAATGTCATCAACGCTGACCTATACATGCACATGTGTACACACACACATACACACACACACACACACACACACACACAGAGGGGGAAAGAGACGGAGAAACAGGCAGACAGAGAGAGGAGACTATTCCAAGGCCATGTAGCCAAAAAATGAAAAAACTAGGGTTTGAACCCTAGCCTTTTGAAGCTTGATATTTTACCACTATACTGGGTTTCTTACTAACTACTCAGAGAAAGTCTACCACATACCAAGTATTGTTCAACCCTTTAATCATCATAACAGTCCCACAAAGGATTCTGCCATCCTAGTACAAAACAGCTCTGTAAAATGCCCAAGGTCACACATCTAGTGAAAACTAAAGGTGGAATTTAGATGTCCATAGCCAGCTGTGGTGTCCCACACCTTTAATCCCAGCACTCAGGAGGCAGAGGCAGGAGGATCTCTGTGAGTTCCAGGCCAGCCTCATCTACATAGTGAGTTTTAGGACAGTCAGGACTATGTAGAGAGACCCTGCCTCAAAAGTATATGTGCGTGCGTGCGTGCGTGCGTGCGTGTGTGTGTGTGTGTGTGTGTGTGTATAGATATCCCTAAGCCCAACCACACATATATATGTGTATATTGTGTGTGTGTGTATATTGTGTGTGTGTACCTATGCAGCCTGTCCTCAGTTATAATGCCCTTCCCCACATCTACAGACTCCCCTAGGTAGTAGGCTCCATGTATGGTTACAGTGTTATAAACATAACTTTATCATGTGCAGGGACGGCGCATGAGAAGGAGAATAAGAGTAACATAAACATCTGTGGAGGAAAACTAAAACTGATTGGCTACGCCAGAAACCTGGGCAGTTGTCAGCCAATCCTTGTTAACAATGGAGAAGATGACCGATCTAAGCACAAGGAGCCTAAACAACCAAGAGACCCCAATTTCATGCAGAGAGAAGAGGCTGTCTATCAGATCTGGTAAGAGAGGATCTCCAAGTCCTACCAGGCTAGGGGAAATTATATCTAATCTATCTTGCCAGTCTGGGGCCTTTGAAAGGGAGAGAGTTTACAAATAATCTGAATGTTTACTATGCCTGGGCATCTGAAGAAAGGTACACAGCATTCGATCCCTGATCCCTGACCCGAACACTTTTGCTTTCTTAAGAACAGGTCGGGCTGGTAGAGTGGTGCCTGCTATGCACAGAGCCCTGGGCTGGCTCCTCAGCACTGCATAAAACTGAACATGGAGGCACATGCCTACAATCTCAGTACTTGGGAGGCTGAGGCCGCGAGTTCAAGGCCTGTCTAGGTTCTATGAGGCTCCATATCAAAGACAAAACAAAAAACTCAAATGGCCCTGTTGTGTTGTCTAGGCTGCCAGGGTACCTTCAAATCTGTAGAGTCGGGTGATTCTGCTGCCTGTGTGGAGGTCAGAGGACTACTAGCTCTCAGGAGCCTCTTCTCTCATTCATCGTGTGTGTTGAGGAATCGAACTCAGGTTGGTAGGCTTGGTTGGCAACAAGACACCTTACCCACTGAGCAGTCTTGCCCTATACACGCTTGATTTTTCTTAAATGAATTCATTTACAAAGTGCTTTGTGGAACTATTCCCTGGAGCATGGGTAACCCCAGTAGCTGCCTCACGATATACAAGGACTTCTCCCTCTGCAGCCCTGACGTCATTCATCCCCCGCTGCTATCTCCCGAGGCCTGGAGGTTGGGGGTCTCAGTCTTGCTCAGGTCCTAGGCAGGCAACCGCAGCCTCTGTGACTTCTTTAGTGCCTTGCTCATCAAACAGATTTCAGCCAGGCGTGGTGGCGCCCATCTTCAATCCCAACACTCACGAAGCAGAGACAGGTGGATCTCTATGAATTCCCGGTCAACCTGTCTCCACAGTCCCGGGCCAGCCAGGGCAACAAAGTGAGACCCTGTCTAAGAAAGAGAGGAAAGGAGGGAGGGAGAGTATTTCTTATAACGCCCGGTACCCCATGTTTTCACACACAGCTTTCCAAAGGGTAGCAGGCTGACTTTGTCAGTGGTCCAGGAAGACCCCAGGACTTCCGGAGCTCTTGTCTTCATCCGGTCCTGGCACAGACAGCCGTAGGTCACTGGAGGGGAACAAGGGGCAGGCAGGGACTGCGCCTTGTCCCATCACCTTCAGTCCGCTCTGTGGACGGAGACGGGCGGCTCCGGACCGCACAAAGGGCCTGCTGCAGAGGAAACCTCTTTCTCTGGCTGGACTGAAGCCCTTTCCGGCCCTCTCCTTCCCAGATAACCCGAGGATACCCGCGGTCGAGCGAGCGCAGGCAGAGGCCTAGCGCAGGCAGCATCTAAAGTGGGGAGCACGCCTGCTCCGGGCTCCCAAAACAGTCTCACATTTGATCCCGCCCCTCTTCCCGGCAACTCCCTGATTGGCTCCCCAGCCTCCAAAGGCGCCCAGTGATTGGCTGGAGGCCCGTGGCCAGGGGATACGCGGCGCCCTGGGGGCGGGGCCTGCCGGCGGGAGCCACACCGCCGGGCGCCGCGCGCGCAGCTTCACTTAGTCAGCGGGCGGCGCGGGCGAGCGTTCCGCTGCAGGGTAGGAGAGTGGAGGGGCGGCGGGGCGGGGAGCCGGGAGGCATGGCGCGGCCCGACGAGGAGGAGGAGGGGCCGGCCGTGGCGCCCGGGCACCCGTTAGCAAAGGGATACCTTCCGGTGCTGAGGGGCGCCCCGGATGGGGAGGCGCGCACGGAGCCGCCTGATGGGCCCGAGGCGGAGAACGGAGGCCCGGGTCACGGCTCCGTGGTCGCGGGAGCTCCGGACGGGCCGCAAGGCCTGCTGGCGGCGGCGGAGGAGGAGGAGACCCAGGCCCGGCTGCTCCCCGCGGGCGGTGGGGAGGACGGCCCGGGCCCCACGCGCTCCCCGCGCACGGCGCTGTCGCCGCGGCGCTTCGTGGTGCTGCTCATCTTCAGCGCGTACTCGCTGGTCAACGCCTTCCATTGGATCCAGTACAGCATCATCAGCAACGTGTTCGAGGGCTTCTACGGTGTGTCGGCGCTGCACATCAACTGGCTGTCCATGGTGTACATGCTGGCCTACGTGCCCCTCATTTTCCCGGCCACCTGGCTGCTGGACACGCGAGGACTGCGGCTCACGGCGCTGCTGGGCTCCGGCCTCAACGGCCTGGGCGCCTGGGTCAAGTGCGGCAGCGTGCAGCGGCACCTCTTCTGGGTCACCATGCTGGGGCAGAGTCTGTGCTCCGTGGCCCAGGTCTTCATTCTAGGCTTGCCCTCTCGCATCGCCTCGGTGTGGTTTGGACCCAAGGAGGTGTCGACGGCTTGTGCCACCGCGGTGCTGGGCAACCAGGTAAAGACTGGAACGAATAGACACTAGGATCCTCTTAAGGACGGTAGGAAGCCATAGGCGGGGCTGAGCCCACGGTTGGTGGGTAAGGTGCCTACCGTAGAAGCGTTAAGACTGAGCTCCAGCACCACGTGGCATGGTGGCTCCAGGTTGTATTTCCAGCCAGCACTGACAGGTGAGGAGGACAGCTCCTGAAAAAGGACGCCCGAGGTTGCCCTCTGGCTTACTTACACACAGGCGCGCCTGGACGCGCTGACAGTGAAGGAGATCTCATAGGTATTTTTGTCATCACTGCAGAAGGAAAGTGTTGAGTTCTGTGACGTTTGTTTCCATATTGAATGTCCTTGGAACAGTCCCGATTTAAGTGTATTAGCAGTGAGCCCAGCCTGGTACACACTGAACAGGCGAAAGTGAGTGTTCAATAAATGTCTTGGTGATAAAGACTTGGCAATATTACTGAGTCCAGTTATTAGTTCTTAATAAGTCAGGCAGTGCTGCAAATCACTGACTCTGGAATGGCTAGTGGTTTAATTAGCCGAGGCTCCCTTAAGAAACGGCCTTGTTTCCCCTACCATGATAAATTCAAATGCCACCAGAATTCCAGACGCAATACTAGGCAAAAGGTGTGTGGCAGACTTCAAACTCTTGAGAATCCTGCTTCAGCCTCCCAAATGCAGGAATGAGCCACCCACTCTGATGTTTGCATTTGTTAATTTCAGGGTCGTTCCCTTATTGTAGCTTAAACTCTTAGTAGAGGGCACCTGTGACACCGGGTACTTTGTCACCGCCGTAAATGTCACCATTGTAAAGGATAGTTAGTATTCATTCAATTGAAGGAAATCTAGTTAAAATCATCCACACCCCTTTATACATATATTGCTACATGCAGCTATGTAACCAGAAAATGTTTCTTTTTCTTTTCTTCCTCCCTTTCTGTGTGTAACAGCCCTGGCTGTCCTGGAACTCACTCTGTAGACCAGGCTGGCCTCCAAGTCACAGAGATCCTCCTCCCACCTCTGTCTCCTGAGTGCTGGGGTTAAAGGTGTGCGCCACCACTGCTGAGCGAAAATGTTACTTTCTTACTTCCAAGTCTCAATGGGATCAAGATCATGGTTTAAAACACCCCAAAAGACTGTGTGTGCTTATTTTGTTAGACTTACTTGCTTTCTCTAAGACGGTAGAAGGGCCACTTAAACTATAATTGCTGTGCATTCAAAATAATTTATTACTGATATTTTAGTTGTTTCTTTATATTTGGATAGTAGATGTTTTCTTAAGATATTTTTTGTTTCAAAATTATATTCAAGATTATGCTTCATTGACCATAATAAAAATATTATCAGCTCTTTATCTATGAAGCATCAATTTTTATGGATAATAAAGGGAACACTTATAGGTGCCTTCCCTCCTCTTAGCAGCACATTTCTGGCTTTTCCTGTAGCCTCCTCAGTGTTCCCATTCCTTCCTTGGTGCCTGTAACTGTGCAGTTATGACCAAATAAGCATTTTTCAGTCTCATTTATGGAGTGATCATGCATAATGATATTCAGAAGCATTATGCAGTCACTAAGAGCTTGGTAACATTAAAGTGACTTATGTGCATATGCCATTCAACTTAATATCATAAGGTTAGGAACTATTAGTTTTCCCACTTGTTAGATAGGGAAATTGAAACTTTAAGGAATGAAATCATTTTCCAAAGGTAATAATACTGCTTGTTCACGTGTCTGTCTGGTTCCTGAATGGTAGTTTTTAACTTTTTAGGTCTCCAGAGAGAACCAGAGTACTTTAAAAAATATAAAGTGTTTACTATAAGTTACAAAACCTTTGTCATGTGTCTTTGGCTTCTTAAACAGTGTCAAACTTGCACTTGCACAAGGACCTTTGCAGAAACATTCCTTCCCCATGCTTAGAATTTTCTTCCTGTTCAGATTACGTGATTACACACTTACAGCCACTCAGCTCTCAAGTCAATTTGATTAGCCAGTTGCTTTCCTGATTCCATGTGGAGTTACTTTCTTACTGCATCATTACATTTTCTCTCTCCATGTAGCATTTATCACTGTCTCATGTTTATTGCTCATATATTGACAAATATACATGTTTTATGCTCATTACTGTCCATTTTTTCATTTCATTTCCTGAGTAACTTTCCATCTCTCTTTGTAATTTAATTTTTTAAAAATTTTTATATGCATTGGTGTTTGACCTGCATGTTTTTGTGAGGGAGTTGGATCCACTGGAACTTGAATCACAGATAGTTGTGAGCTGCCATGTGGGTGCTGGGGATTGAACTCAGATCCTCTGGAAGAGCAGCCAGTGCTCTTAAGCCCTGAGCCATCTCTCCAGCCCCCACATCCCTTTGTAATTACTTGTTTGCCTTCTTTCTTTGAATGTCTTCCTGTGTGTGTGTGTGTGTGTGTGTGCGTGTGTAATGTATGTATACAGGTGTGCAGTAGGAGGGAGATGGTTTGGGTGAGTGCACACTTGGAAACCAGAGGGGGATTTTGGATGCCCGCTGTCTCCCTGTGCCTTGTTCTGTTGAGGAAGAGTCTCTCATAAGCCTGGAGTTGAGGTTTTTCAGCTAGGCTGTCAGCCATCAGGCTCTAGAGAGCACCCTGTCCTCACCCCAAGTGCGGTGGGTGCAGGAGTGCACAGGACCGTGCCAGCTCATTGTGTGGGTGCTGGGATTAGAACTCTGGTCCTTACGCTGTGCAGCAAGTACTCGTCACCACTGAGCCAGCTTGCCAGCCCAGAGTTGCTTTCGATATGGATTTGTCTATGCTGAATATTTTATATAGATGAAATTATATACTGTGTGTCTTTGTGTCTGTCTTAGTTCTCTATCATGTTTTCAAGTACATGGGATAGTACTACATCAGTACTTCATTCCTTCTTACAGATGGATATACTTCATTGTGTGAACATGCCAGATAAATATTTAGGTTATTATCATGTTTTGGGTCTGTGAATGGGGTTGCTGTGTTTGTATATAGTTTATTTGACTATCTGTTTTTAGTTTGGGGGGCATGGACCTACAAGTGGAATGGAAACATCATATTTCAGTTCTGTTTTAAATTTGTGAAGAAATTGCCAAACTATCCATAGTGGCTACTATATCATTTTACATTTGTGCCACAAGGGTTCCAGTTTCTCCCATTCTTGGGAACACTTACTTTCTGTTCTTATAATCACACTCATCCTAGTGGATGTAAGATGGAGTCTCGTGGTAATTTTGATTTGTGTTTCCCTTTACAGCATGATATTGACCTTTTTTTCATATTCTTCTTAGCTATGTATCTTCTTTGGAAAAATGTCTTTTCAAGTCTTTGGCCCATTTATCATTGGGATTCTTATCTCTGTTGTTGGGTTGTAAAAGTTCTTTACTCTGATGCTAGTTCCTTCTTAGATATGATTTGGAAATATTTTCCCCATGTTGTAAGAATTTTTTAATCCCTTATCAGATATAGGAGAGAAGTTTGCCAACAGTTTTCTTTTAACAAAGACATGAGAACAGATTTTTTAGGGTTTACAGTACATCTTTATATGTACTACCGTTTCTCTTTATGTTCTGTTAAATGCCAGCATTTCGTCTTTGTTTCCTATTAATGGCTGTTAACAGGACTGTTTATTTTACAGCTTGGAACTGCAATTGGCTTCTTGTTGCCACCTGTTTTAGTGCCCAACACACAGAATAACACAGACCTTCTGGCTTATAACATCAACACCATGTTTTACGGAACAGCATTCATCTCCACACTTTTATTTTTTTTAACAGTAATTGGTAAGTGACTTGTTCGTCCTAAGCTTAGATAAGTGCATGACAGATGTATGAGGATAACTAACCCTGGAAGTTTGCTGATGGTGTGTCCAGTGCTGTTTATGTTCTCTTCATGCACTGTCTTGCTTGGGTACTGAATGGAACAGCTCTAGGGGTACGTTATGGTCCACTGTACGTTGTCCTCAACATTCTAAAGGGTTTGGAGACTAATCAATCCCATTTACCTTCCTACTAACTCAGCTTGGTAAGCGTTCATCTCAGATATGCTGCCTGGCTTCCCTTCCCATGTTCATCTCTGTGGTGTGCATCTTGTACCTGCCTAGCCTGCAGCCGGTTTTTGTCATGCTTTGAAATGATGCAAGCAGGCTGCCACCTCCCCTCTCACGGGAAATTCCCCCAGGGGTCCCCAGTTTAAGATTAACTGGGTCTAAAATGTTGACCTGTAAGTGATCCTGGGCAGCCTGGAGCTGTTCCGAATTTCAAACTGTGGGAACTGTCTGCTTGTTAGGCCACTTCAGCAAAGCCCGGCTGCCGTCCCTCGTCCCCGCGTCCTCGCCTGGGCCTGTCTTTTGAAGGAGTCAGTCAGAGTCAGCTGCAAGCAGCCATCACCAGCTTGGAAGAAGCTTTGGGAAGGTCTGCTTTTTTTTTTTTTTTAAGTTCATTTTTAAGGGAAAACAATTTTGATTTTAGGGAGAAGATAGGCAAGGAGTATCTAAGATATACTGCTGCTGCCGTAACTAGACTGCCTGCTAGACACTCAGGACCTCTCCGATGGGTTTTATTAGAAAAGGAACTGTGAAGTCCACAGACCATCTTTTAATTAACACTTATCATTAAACCGTGTTATTGTTGGAGGTCTTAGACTTACATATTAAACTTTTACCTTGCTATGATATCAATGAAATCTTCAAATTTTGTGGTCTCCAGATGTGAAGTTGAGTTTCAGAGAAATATCTTCTGGTAACCTGGGTAGGCGAGTGGCAGGACCAGGTATAGGAAGCTCAGCCCACATCTGCAATTTCCCTTGAGGTGATGAACGGAATGTTCTCTTAGTAGCATCTGAAGTATGCTAGTATGTGCAGTTGGCTTCTCATTTTCCATCTTTGCAGTTAGTCAGGGAGTGGCATGTTTCTACTGTGCACATTGCTGAAAAGTTTGTCTTGTACTCTTAGTATTTTAACAGTTTTAAAAGAAATCTGTACTGGTGAGGGAGACTCTTAAATCAGCTTTTCTGGTTGGTGCATTTGGCTTGCTTGACCAAGTACAAAATATTGCTTCTGTACATTTTTAGAGAAATGGATCTTGCACTCACAGTAGGTTTAAGTATAAAGTATCTTTCAATCATTTATGTGTAATCACATAAATCTCGGGCTTCTGTCTTCTTGGATCTTAAGTTGAGCATCTCTTCACAAGAAATGAATAATCAATTATAGAAGACATCTTTATAAAAAGAGCCGGCTGGAGAGACGCTCAGCAGCTAGGAGCACTTGCTGCTCTTGCAGAGGACCCAGGTTATGTCCCCAGCACCCATGTCACCGGTAGCTCACCGCTTCCTGTAATTACAGCTACAGGGGACCTGACTTCTTTCTCTGACCTCTGTGTGCACCGCAGTCACGTGCAGGAAACCCAACACACACACACACACACACACACACACACACACTCACACACACACACAATGAAAAGTTAAAATATTTCTAGTTAATTAGTGGAAAGGTAGCTCAGTGGTTAGGAGCACTTGTGCACTTGTTGCTGTTGTAGAGGACTTGGTTTAGTTCCCAGCATTCACATGTAACTAGCTCACGACCATATATAACTCCGGTTCCAGAGACTCTGATGCCCTCTTCTGAGCTCTGTGGACACCAGACACTAATGGTGCACGTATAGACATGCAGGCAAGTCACTCATTCACAGAAAATAAATCCAAAAGTAAAAATAAAATTTTAAAAATAATTCTGTAGTTGAACTTTTTTACATGATATATATGTGTGTGTGTGTGTGTGTGTGTGTGTGTGTGTATAAACTATTACAAATAGGTTTTTTAGTTTCCAAAGACAGATGAAAAACAATGAAATGAGTATGACTATTAGTTTATTATCTTTTGTAGTCTGAGAAATTAAAGTGAGCTACTTATGTATCTAATTAGTTATGGGTGTACTTTTGCCTTATGGGTTGAGAGTGGAGATAGAACTGGAAGTGTAGAAACAATGGAATGAAAAAGCCTTGCTTTCAAGTCTGTTTTAGTGCCCTACATTTTTAGTTTTATGACTCTAGACATAGTATAAAAGCAAAGTAAGAATTAGTCATGGAAGCATCTGCTATCGTCCCAGTATTTGGGGGCTGGAGACAGGAGGATCAGGAGCCCAGGGTTGTCCTTGGCTACGTGAGACCCTGTGTCAAAAAACAAAAAAGATAGCACACCGTCACTGTGGGAGACCTGTGACAGTCAATAGAAAGGCAGCCTGTGTCACCGTACTCAGGGTTTGCCGAGGAAGAAACTGAATTTGGAAACTCTTAAAGCGCCTTGTTTACTAGAAGAGAGGAGGTTACATCCTTCTAAATTCTACTGATAATTACTTAAAAATTCAACCAAATCCATATAATTTATGGCTTTAAATTACAGTTTTTAGTAACATGACACATATTGAACTAATATTCATCAGCCTACCTCAAAGACTTCCTTAAAGGCTCACTTTGTGTGACCTTTCTTGTCCTCGTGGGTTGTGTATATGGATTTATGTGGGAATCTTAGGAACTCTCCATACCTTCCACTGAGTCCACACTGATTCCTCATTCTTGAGGAATTCTGGCCTCTCACATTTGGATGGTAGATGTGCACCAAAACATGGTTGAATACACACCACATGTTGGTTCTTATTAAGCCTCAAGATTCTTTATCAGCACCTGGGAGGCAGAGACAGGTGGATCTCTGTGAGTTGGAGACCAGCCTGGTCTACAGAGTGAGTTCCAGGATAACGAAGGCTACACAGAGAAACCCTGTCTCAAACTGCCACCCTCCAAAAAAGAAAAAAACATTTAATTCAATATTAGTCTTACATAAACAGAAGAATGTATAGGCTAGATGTGTAATTGTACTTTGGATTCTTGTATTCACGATGGCTGTACATGGCTGTAAACTTTTTACTAGAGATGCCTTTTACTTACTTAGTCTATAAATATTTCAAGCTCTTGAGACAAAGTCTGATTTTTTAAGTGAATATTGTATTTACTTATTTTTTTATTTTTGGTTTCTCTATGTAGCTCTGACTGTCCTGGAACTCACTATGAAGACCAGGCTGGCTTTGAACTCACAGAGATCCACCTGCCTCTGCATTCCAAGTGCTGGGATTAAAGACATGCACCACCAAGTTCCACTCTAAGTGAATATTTTTCAAATAATACAATACATTTTATATAACAACACTTGATAATTGTAAAATTTCACATATTTTATGTGATCTTTACAGCAGCTTGTCATTGTCATTTCCATTTAAAGAATGAGAACCTAAAACTGAGACATACGTAAGACAGGGCAGAGGCAGAGGTGTATTTACAGTCTGCCTGCGTCTCCCACAGTGACAAAAGGGCTCTGAGCAGCCCGGGTTTACTCTTTCTTCTTCCAAGGAGGAGCTGCGTGAACTCAGTGCTCTGCAAGCTTTTGATGACTTTGTGTGTCTAATGCCAGGTGGAGAGGAGCTGCTATTTGAGGTTAATAAACAGTTCTTTTATTGGCACAGATTTTTAGTGGAAAAAAAAGAGTTCCCCATTTCAAAGGAAAAAAAGAAAGGCCTTATTTCCTGCTTTGAGATAGATACACAGCATAAAAAGGTCATAGACAGATGACCTTTTGTTCCTGCTTTTCTTCATGTAGCACTGAGTCTGACCTTTCAGCGGTGTGTGGCTGGGAGGTACAGGTTACATTTGCCAAGAGATCAGTTCATCTCTCCGAAACTTGAGAATGATACTTGTATTCAGAAAATCAATCTGAGTGGAGCTAAAGACCGATGAGGATTGTTTTTAATGTATGTGAGTTTTTAATCCATATTTGGTTCATTTGGATTTGTTTTGCTATAGTAAATTAAAACCTAGATATTTAGGACTTGCTAGAAACTAGACTACAATTACTTATAGTCTGAAACCTTGATTTACTACTGTGAAAGTTTTGTGTTACCAATGCTAATAAAGAGAAATATTTCCTATCCGACTAGGACACAGAGAGACTTGCAGGACAGACTCGAGGCCTCCTAACAGTGCAAGGATCAGATAGGGAGGAAGGAAGAGGAAGAATTGCGGCAGCTAAAGGTTTTGTGCCCACCAGGCTCCAATGTAAGGATGCTACGAATAAGTGCCGATGAGTTCTGTCCCTCTTGCTCTAGTTCTGAGCTCTGAAATAGAAGTATACTGAGTTTGGTTTTAGTTACATCATAATTTTTTTTCCAACAAAAACTTTAACTTTTTGTTTTTATCAGCAAATAGAGAAATGACTCATAATAATTTGTGGGGGTTGCAAGGATTGTTTCTTCCCTGGTAACTCTCAAATATGTCTGTGTACTGGGAATGTTGGGATTTTTGTGTTTAGTGTAGGGTCTCATATTCTATCCTACAGATTCTGCTTGTTAACCCTTGTATAGAGTCTCAAAACCAGTATTAATTTTAAATTTTTAAATGAGTCCACTTGACAACCAGAGACACCAGACCTAATCCCCTTCAAATTGAAAATAAAACAGGCCTCTTCCAACCAAGAAGAAATTGTTTTGAAAGGGAGAAGGAAAAAGAGGAAATGGAAAAGTGATGAGCGGCAGGGAGTGGGGGTTTGTGCTGTGTAAAGGTCAGTGCTCCGAGAGGAGAGACGGGAGGAGGAGGGCAGAAATTATGGTCTTAGAAAACGTGCCTTTGCCCCTGTGCTTCCCTTTTGCTTTTTGAATTTACTTGTTAATTGTAAAGCACATTTTCATGAATTGTCTGATCAGTGACATGTACATCTGGGATCTATGATTATAGAAACATGTGTGACTCTTGATACCTGGGAAGGTCACTGAATCCAAGCATTTATCTCTTCCAAGGGACTGAATTTAAAAGTGAAATCCTTAATGTAGTAAATATTGATCTTGATTATTGAAAATGGAGCAATCAATGGGCAAAGGTGGTCTCATTGCCAGTGATTTTTCAGCTCCAATGAATTGGCCAAATCTCTGAGTTTTAGTTCAGAGAGCTAAAAGGATAATGCCAAATTATTCTTCACTTAGAAGTCAGTAAAGCTAAAAAACAACCTTGCTATACAAAACTTTGACTGCCTCTTTAGTCCTAAACTAAATTCTGTTCTCTCACTGAGAAAGATGCCATATATTGAATCACATGAGGTGTGTGGGTATAATATACGTGAGTTAGTCATATGTAATCCTTTTCACACATGTTTCCAGTGTTCAAGGAAAGGCCTCTGTTACCACCAAGTCAGGCTCAGGCAGCTCTGAGAGACAGTCCTCCTGCGGAGTACTCCTACAAGACTTCTATCTGGAACCTCTTCAGAAACATCCCCTTTGTTCTCCTGCTGATCAGTTATGGTAAGTGGCACTGTGTTCACTGGTGGCCATGGACACCTTTAAGCACTGTAGATTCTTTTTTATTGAAACTAGTGGCTTGAATATTAATGAGGTTGGTCCATGAACTTCATAGCTTAATGATGAACTTAAGTTTTGCCTAAAGGGTTTTTTTTTTTTAATGTTTTTAAATAGAAAAAAAAAAAGCAGATCTCAGAAGTACTGCATGCTTTTTTGAGTCCTGGTAGAGTGTTACATCTAGAATGTAGAAGTTCTGCCTGCAGATATATTTAGAGAAACCCATTCTTGTGTTTAGGAGTAAAATCTTAATATCAACTGCAGTCTTATTTTAAATATTGAAAACCTGGGGGAGGAGTGTTAAATGTCTACTGATAACAGGTAACTGAATTGAAATAGATTAACACTATGGACTATTACACAGTAGAGAAAAATCAATGAACTAGAATGAAAGTGTCACCATGAACCACAAAACAAACAGTTGAGTGGTAAGACCAAGTTATAGATGATGTGGAATAATTCTAATTATTCATGAATACACACATGAAATTAAAAACTCCCAAGATCAAGATAGGAGTACTTTTGGAAAAGAAAGTATAGAAGTGGGAAAATTGAAGCAAAGATCAGTGATGAGAGAGTATGTTATTCACTGTGGTCTGTAGTCAGAAACGTCTCCAGTCCTGCCTTGCCCCGCAGTCCTGACGAATCTCTTCTCCCCAGGTCCCGCAGCTGCTTATGAAATAATCCCTCAGAGGCTCATATGAATTACAAACTGTGCGGCCTATGGCTTCAGCTTCTTGCTAGCCAGCTCTTTCATCTTAAATTAACCCATTCCTACAAGTCTATGTACATACGTACATGGCTGTGCTGTTATGGGTCTGCTGGCATCTTGTTGCTCCTTTGGCAGCAGGCTCGAATCTCTACTGACTTCGACCTTCTTTCTCTGTATCTGCTTGGATTTCCCACCAGGCTGTAAGCTTTCTTGCCATAGGCCAAAACAGCTTTATTTATTATCCAATGGGAGCCACACAAATTCACAGCATGTAGAAAGACACCCCACAGCAGTGGTCTTTGTGTGCTTGAATATTTAATAGTAAAAGAGAATGAATAGTAAATTAAATCTCAGCTATGTTACCAATCCCGTGTCTTTGAGGAAGTGCACACGAGGGTTTGAGACTGCACATGTGATTCCTGATGACAATCTGTTGAGATTCTTTCGTGTTCTTTTATTCTCTTAGGAATTGCCTTGTAAGTTTTTGATTCAAGTGTCAGGTCTCTGAAACAAGCGTTCTGTTATGCTGTTAATGATGAAGGGTTTCTTTTTCTTAAGACTTGGTTGGTTGGTTTTGTTTGGTGGGGTGTGGTGCTGTGATGCTAGGAATCAAACCAAGGGTCTTGTGTATACTAGGCAAACGCTGCCATTGAGCCCTGTCTCACTTTTCATCACCACTGACTATGGTTTATGGTACATGCACAGGAAAGGTTGCTTGAATGTTTGCCATATGCAGAGTTGCATGTGGTGATCTACATGCCTGAATCAAAATAATGTGTTGTAACAAAATCCTAGTTTCCATTTCTGTTGCTACAACAAAATGCCCAGTGCTGGATATTTTATAAAGAAAAGAGGTGTATTTATCTCATATCTTTGGAAAGATCAAGACCAGGTAGCCATATCTGCTTAGTCTTTGGCAAGGAACTTGGGAGCATCATGACAGGGATAAAATATGACTTTGTGCCAAGTAGACCAAGGTGTTTGGTGGCCTTATTTTATAACAGCCTTCTTCACTAATAACTGACTTACTCCATGAGACCTAAATGAATCTTTCTGAGGAGCCCCTGGGCCTCACCTCATTGTTTTAGGTCCCACCTCTTAAAGGTTCCATCACCTTTGACCCACCTATGGTGGAGACCAGGATTCCAGCACAGATCTCTAATAAATCTGGTATTAAATCCATCTGTCTATCTTCTAAAAGGCAACAGTGGTGGTGTTTAGTCTTCTTGACTGTCTGAGAACATTACATTTTATACATATTGCATAGCATTCCGTGTTATTTCATGGAATGATGAACTTTTTTTTCTTTATAGGTATTATGACTGGAGCATTTTATTCAGTTTCAACATTATTAAATCAAATGATATTGACACATTATGAGGTAAGCTTTGTTTTGTTTTCTGAAACAGAGTCTTGCAATGGAACATTGGCTGGTCTAGAACTCATTATGTAGACCAGGCTAGCCTGGAACTTGAGATGGTTTTCCTGCTTCTGTCTCCCCAATGCTGGGATTACAGGCATGGGCCACCATCTGCTTTTATATTGTATGCTTGACCAAGACTTTTCCTTTAACAATATAATTTGCATTAGTGTGGTTCTAAAATGACGGATTATGGCCTTGTTAATGCAAAAGATTTATATCTGTTGTTTTTTTTTAAAGGCAGCATTCCATCTACAACTAAGAGGTGGAAAAAAAGCTGAATAAAGCTGTTTAGGCACAGAAGGCAGATGGGTCTCACAGTTAGAGCAGAGAGGCCAGATTCCTGAGTTGTCAATATGATCCCTGGTGTATCACACCAATCTAGTTTGTTCTGGTCTCCTGGACTTAGTGTGTAAACTCAGTCCAAAATCACTAGCTCCCATACTTTTATTAAGCGTATTTAACCTAATTTGCAAAACACACATTGAAAGTAAATATTATTAGCATTGTGACAAAACCTTAATTTGGTTATATGGAAAAACACAAAACCTTTTAAAGGATGTAAGCTTAGACATCGAGGTCAGACTGGCCTCTCTCTTAAAAAGGAGCTGGCACCTTTACTGTGTAAAAGTGTTGCCCTTACCTTTCTCTATGCACATGTATAAATGATTTCAAAGTCTTAACAGAAAGTAAATACAACTATGGAGTATCCAGGAAATGTCTCCTTTTTACTTCTTTCATTATTTTATATTCACTTTTACTGATTCTGTTGTTTTAAAATAGAATGCCTTCAATAAACCATCCTCTCCAAAAACACACCTCTATCCCATGTAATGAATCTTCCTATTGTGTGCTTAATTTTAATAATTATTTCTGCTAACTATGTAAGTGTATGGGAATGTGAACCACCTGCTTGAATTAGAAATATCTGATTATCAAATTGTTTTAGAGAGAAGAGGTGAATGCTGGAAGAATTGGGCTAACGCTGGTGGTAGCTGGAATGGTGGGCTCTATTCTTTGTGGCTTATGGCTGGATTACACCAAAACCTACAAGTAAGTTACAGTAGATATGTGCATGATACGTAAGTAAAGATACACTGATTTTAAAGAATGGGGTTTCACTAGGTAGCTCGAGCTGGCTTGGAGCTCCATCTTGCCATAGCTGCCGAACTGCCAGGATGCCAGCGTGACCCACCATGTGTAACTGAGACTTGGAGCATTTCAGTGATCTGCCTGCATGAATGCTTTACAGATCTTCCCAGCCCTTTGTAGCTTGTTTCTATCTGAAAAGAGCCCTCCCAGGGAAGCACCAGGTTCCCAACAAACTTTATCTTGTCTTTTTTATGTTATAAACTTTAAAAAAAGTTTTTTTCTATGGGAAGATTATTGTTGAGCTAGCCACATTATCCACTGATGAGAAGGCATGATTTGTGATAGCCAGCCACATTTTTCTCTGTACCCTAGGGCAATCAGAAGGGAACCATTAATTATTTTGTCTTTGTTTTAGGCAGACGACTCTGATCGTGTACATCCTGTCTTTCATTGGGATGCTTATATTTACTTTCACGCTGGACCTTGGGTACATCATTGTGGTGTTTGTCACTGGGGGCTTCCTTGGGTAAGTGTCAAGTGTGTAAAAGAAATTACACCCTGCTCCTACGACTTGGAAGGACTGTGTAAAAAGCCCTCCAAAAGTTCTTTTGATATTTAAATTAAACTCTAAAAGTTCCATTATGTACATATAAATGTATAATTCCTCAGAACTATAACAAAAAAGTTTAAGATATTTTGGTATGCTGTTGGTGAAAAATAGATGAGCCTCATCTGGCAGGTGGCTGCCCTCTCCTAACCCACCTGTCTTGTGGTCTTGCTCTCCTAGTTTCTTCATGACCGGTTACCTCCCTCTGGGCTTTGAGTTTGCTGTTGAGATCACTTACCCTGAGTCTGAGGGCACATCCTCTGGACTCCTCAATGCTGCTGCACAGGTAATCCTGCTTTTTCCTAACCCAAGACAGTTAACCAAGTGTGGTGATAGTGATCTCAAGCACTTGATAAGCAGGGGCAGGGGGATCAGGAGGTCAAGGCCAGTGTTAGCTACATAGTGTGTTTGAGGCCAGCCTGGCTACATGAGCCTCTTGTCTCAAAAAAACAGAACAAACAAAACCACAAAAAACAAGGTGATTCCTATGGCCAGCAAGCAGTGAGCTTGGCCTGACTTTGTGGTTTAATTATCCTGACTTTCAGTGGTTATTTCTAGAAGCCAGATCATAAGGAAAGTCAGTTAAGGCAGGCTCTGTGGGGAATGTGTACTTGTTTTAAAAGAGCAAACTTAATAAAACTCATTTCACGAATTTTATCTTAGATATTTGGAATTTTATTCACATTGGCTCAAGGAAAGCTCATGTCCGACTACACACCTCAAGCAGGAAACATTTTTCTCTGTGCCTGGATGTTCTTAGGCATCATTTTGACAGGTAAGGCTGAGTGCGTGCAGCCTGTTGTCTGTGTTCAGTTTTGTGCATTGCTGCTTCATGGTGTTGCAGAACTCTGACGTTAAGAATGAAATAAGAAGTGGAACACAGTTTTCTTCTCAGGATGTGAGTCTGTCCTTTCAGTTTGGTGGGTCCAAATTTAATACCATTACTGTGCATAAAAGACAGTGCTGGGTCTGGGGAGGCGGCTCACCGCACCCAGTTCAATCCCCAGCACCCAAATGGTTGCTCACAGTAGTCTAGCTCTGGTTCCAGAGGATCTGATGTCCTCTTCTGGCCGCCTCTGGCACTGCACAGACACAAATGCAGGCCACACGCCCATATACATAAAATAAAAAGAACCCTGTAGCCAGAGTTTTCCTGCCTTGCCCACAGTCAGGACAAATCTTTGTCACCCGCCAGTCCCACAGCAGCTCAGACCCAACCAAGTAAACACAGAGACTTATATTGCTTCACACTGTATGGCCATGGCAGGCTTCTTGCTAACTGTTCTTATATCTTAAATTAATCCATTTCCACAAATCTATACCCTGCCACATGGCTCGTGGCTTACCGGCGTCTTCACATGCTGCTTATCCTGGCGGCGGCTGGCAGTGACTCCTTCTGTCTTCCTGTTCTTTTATTTCTCCTCTCTGTTAGTCCCGCCTATACTTCCTGCCTAGCCACGGCCAATCAGGTTTTATTTATTGACCAACCAGAGCAACTTGACATACAGACCATTCCACAGCACAGCCAAGTGCAGACCATCTCAGACACCTGCACTCAGGCCCGTGGTCCTAATCATCCTCTATGCGGACCTGCTGGGTAAAGTCACGAGGAACCCAAGAACGAGCTCCCACAGGACATACAGAACATCCCACAGCAGAACCCTTTTTAAAAAATTATAAAAATTGTATTAATTATTTATCTTGTGTGTCTTTATCACCTTCCACTTGTACATGTGGGCATCTTAGATCTCCCAGTGAGAACCAGATTCACTGTGTTCCCACTGTACATACCTGTTTCTCTTATGTTTTCTATTTCAGTTAGCTAGTGCTGTTACCCATTCAACCGCCTAAACAAGGAGATCCGGAAGTCACCATTCTCCCTCCATTACTACACCCCGTTATCCCACCCTGTATTTGTTAGCTGAGGGGTGACTGGTAGTTAAGCTCAACACCAAGGTGTCTTCTCAGCTGCAGCGATGCTATTGGCTGTCACAGCATTGTGCACTGTGTGTTACGTGCTGTATAGAGAAGGAGAAGGTGACCAGTCTGTACCTCTTGTGTTTCTGTTTTAGCATTGATCAAATCTGATCTGAGAAGACACAACATAAACATGGGGCTTACAAACGGTGACATGAAAGCGGTAAGTAGCATTTTTATGGCTGGACTCTTGAGTGTGCGGACGGTAAATGGGAAACCATTCTTGTTTAATCAGTAACTTTTTTTTTGAGTCAGTTCAACAGTTGACTGTTAAATAGCATGTGTTAGATGCGGTACATCCCTCCAATGCCAATTACTTTTGCAGGTGCCAGTTGATAGTCTGATAGATGAGAAACCAAAAGTGGTGATGTCTAAGCAGTCAGAATCTTCACTCTGAAGAGGGGAAGGCACCCGCCCTCAGCGTGGGGATGTGGCATCGTCCTTGGGGAGCTGTGTGAGTGGTGAGGACACTTACTTGGAAAGTATTGGGGGAACTCTGGACTCTGAATATCATTTTGGTTTATTGTTATTAAGCAACATTTTGCTTACATCTCAACACTACCATTTATCTAATATTGTCTGTTTTCAGCTGTGTATTGTGTCTATGAAAGTAACATTTTTGACATTTTTCTCAGGATTTTTTTTTAATGGGGAATTTAGAACCATAAGGCAGGTAAGAGTGTGTGCAGTTCACATGTAAACATGTCCAGTGCATTTCCAGTTAGCTGTCATCTCACTGGAATGGCCACATCAGGAAACTGACCCACTGGAGGACAGGATGGGATCAGGATCCCAGAGAAGTCCTCCGATGTTTCCCATCCTTTATACTCTTGTTATACACTATGTTGGTTCTGTGCCACAAAAAAAAACAAAAAACAAAAAAACAAAAACAAAAAACAGTTGTATGCACAGATTAAATTCGTTACACTCTGGTTAGATGAAGCACATGTAGATCATCTGGAGTTCCTCTCTGTGCTGCCTTCATACAAATACTGTATTTTTCAGTGCAACTTGAAATAGAATACCTTTATTTTTACTCATCTGTGTTACAAGCTAGCTCATGATTTCTTTTCTTTTCTTTCTTTCAGCCTGATCTACAGAGTGAATTCCAGGACAGCCAGGGTTTCTCTGTGTAGCCCTGGCTGTCCTGGAATTCACTCTGTAGATCAGGCTGGCCTTGAACTCACAGAGACCCACATGCCTCTGCCTCCCAAGTGCTGAAATTAAAGCCGGTGGTTTCTTATGTCACATCTGTATTTGCCGTGGAGATGCCTAAGACAGGGAGTCTGGGCTAACTTCACAGAGCCCATGTCTCTCTATTCTGCGGAGAGCCCTCGAAATACTAAGTGCTGTGTTCCAGGATCATTTCTCTGACCATCATCCTCTGAGTAATGCCAGCCTTTGCACATGTTCTTGAGTGCTGGGGACAGCTTCTCCTCCACTACAGAGTGTATGTAGAACCACTCTGTGGATATCGTATCTCTTTTACATGCTCAGGGCAAGGAGAATGGGACCAAGTGAGTTTTCACAGTGCCTACCACTGTGTCTTGTTTACAGTGAGAATTAAATGTCATTGATGTTCTGACTCTAAGCATATTGTCATGTCATTTGAGCAACAATAATATTTAAATAGTGTAATTTTATAAATTTTATTAAAAATTTATGTAATATCAAAATGCATGAAGAAAAGCCAATTATGTAATGAATATGTTTGAAGCAAATGCAAGTTTGATTTAGGCAAAATATGCATTGATTTATTTTGATATTATATTATTCTCTTTTATCAAATTACTATAAATTATGTGGAATCTGACACTGGAAAATGTATTGGAAGAACTTAATATCACTCAGCATCAGGAATTCTGGTTTTGTGTCCTTGGTGTTTCTAGCATGGTAACTCTGGACACTTCATTTAACCTCTCTGGCAGAATTTTCGTGATCAGTGAAATGAATGCTTTCACTTTGATCTAAAACAGTGGTTCTCAACCTGTGAGTTGCGACCCTTCTGGGAGTTGAACGACCCTTTCACGGGGATTGCATGTCAGATATCCTGCATATCAGATGTTTATATTATGATTCATAACAGTAGCAAAATTACAGTTATGAAGTAGCAATGAAATAATTTTATGGTTGAGGGATCACCACAACATGAGGAACTGAATTAAAAGGTCACAGCATTAGGAAGGTTGAGAATCACTGATCTAAAAGATCTTTCAAAAATATTGTCACTCATCATGGAGTAGACCACAGGAACTTAGAAATCTAGCTAGAGAACAACTCCATGGACAACTGAATAAACAATGTGATTGCTCCTGTGTAGAGACAGGGGACTTTCAAGTAGCCTTTTAACCTTTGAGTCAGTCTGTAGTAGTTCAGGCAGAATCTGTGTAATCAATAACTTCTTGTGATATTTATGTCACAGGTTAAAAATGACCAAAAACAGTCTCCCCCAACTGTTTCTGTTTTTAAACTGACAGTGCTGTTTACAACAATCATGTGCGTTTTTGCGTCCTGGAGCTTTGAACAAGTCACAGATGGAAGTTATGACTCAATGTCTGAAAGCGTATGTGTGCTTTGTTTGTCACTGTTTGGAAAGGGATAAAGTTTGATGTAATAATGCAAAATGAATTAATGATGTTTTCAGTATTTTAAGTGAATGTTATGGATACTATGTCAGGTGAGAATTTGATATAATTCTGTGTCATGGTTTTAGAAATAGTGATTATCACCTGTGTCAACTTTAGCCAGATGATTTTAGGAACAAAATTAGATGTTCTCAAAAGCTGTTGCATTTGTAAATACTGTGAACATAGCTTTTGTCTTTTGAGAATGTTGGAGAACGTCTTGTGTGAGAAGGTTTGTGTTAGTACCTGGAACAGTGCCTGTGTCTGATGTCTTAATTCCTATTCTTATTTTTGCTATTTTTATAATTTCATTATGTGCTTGTTCTTCATTATTTCATACTTGAAATAAATTTATTTTTTTTAATGCTACTCTCATATGTCTTTTAGAAACAAGTTCTGGTGCCTGGTGTATGTGGGAAGTTAGAAAGCGATTATATGATTTTAGAGTGAACCACGGAGGGAAACAAGTCCACTGTGATCAGCACTCAACAGAAAATAAAATATTTTATTTACTTAAATATAATGTGGGAGTAAACTGGGAGAGTGGCTCAGCATCTAGGATGTGTACTGCCCTCGCAGAGGACCTGAGCTTTGTTCCTAACACCCAAATCAGGAATCTCACAGCAGTCCCAGGGATCCAACACCCTCTTATAGCTTGGGTCGGCAACTGCATTCGTGTGTATGTGCCCCACACATGTGCATAATTTAAAATCAAATCTAAAAGCTGGGTGGTGGTGGTGCACACGCTTTAATCCCAGCACTCGGGAGGCAGAGCCAGGCAGATCTCTGTGAGTTCAAGGCCAGCCTGGTCTACAGAGTGAGATCCAGGACAGGCACCAAAACTACACAGAGAAACCCTGTCTCTGGGGAAAAGAAAAAAAAAATCTAAAAAACTCCAAAAAACTTAGGTTGATATCAGCAAGACAGCATTATTCTCAGAAGTATCGTTTCTCACACTCTTCATGGACAGCACTTTTGTTGGGGATCCAGAAATCCAGTGTAGAGGATTCAGCATAGTTCAAGCAGAAAACCTGTGAGTACGAACTCTGAAGAAGGTAAGACAAGCTCACTTTAACCATATTGACCTCACCCATAGTGGCAAATCACAGTGCCAAGAAAAATCCCAGCAGAGAGCACAGAGCAAACACTCACTCCATCAGCTGTACAGATGCTTTCTCACTGGCCCAACCCTAATAATGAGGTGACTGATACAGCCGAATGTTGGAAAAGGCTGCAAGCAGAGGAGGAGGAGGACCAGGGAGCCTGTGGCCCACTCCGGATTCCCATCACTGCTGCCATGTCCTTCCTGACTGTTGCCTTTCGCACCACGATAAACTCTGGACCTCTGGAACTGTGAGCCTTTGAATACTCTAAGCCCAGTTTACTGGGCTGTGCTAATAGAAGCTTGGAAAATAGTAAAGCTGAGGAATGCAGACATTGGAGGCTCAGGTCATGAGAGTCCAGAGGGGAACAAGAAGTATTTTAGGACATAGGCTAGAGGCTAATCATGGGATATTAACAGAATCTGGCTGCATTCTGCCTCTAACCTGAGAATTTGCATATGTCTAAACAATAGACCTTAAAAAAAGAGGACATGAAGTTGGGAGGGGTCAGGTGTGGGAGAATCTGGGAGAGTTGGGGGAGGAACGAAAGAGTGAATATAATATATTTCATATACTATATGAAATTCTCCACTAATAAAATATATTAAAAATAAAAATGTAATGCACTTCCTTTGGCAGAGGAAATTTCAAAAGCATAGCACTGAATCTTTGTCATGGTTATTACTAATTATTCCTATGCAATGAGAAAGGAACAAGGGAGACAGAAGAAAATGAAAAACATACAGTTGGAAGAGTGAAAGCTAGGACTCTTAAGATTTCAGTCTTGTCACACACGGAAAGGGAGCCTATAATTGTGAAAGGGGTTAACATTAGAGAATGTCTCCTGTTCTGCTCAGGACAATAGCAAAGGCGCCCTGAGGTCAAGACCACACCCCGCTAAATTCCCACCTTGTAAAAGAGAGCCTTAGGAGTTGCTTACGCCCAGAAAACAAATGCCTAAGCAGTTTTCCACCAGCTTCAGTGTGCAGAAGCTGCTGCAACTGCACTCCAAGGGGGTCAGAAATAGAACAAAATTAGTCCATTCCAAAAATGAAATTAAAAGCAAAACTGCCTAGGTCAGGATTTCCCTAGGGTCAGCATACAGAACATGTTGTCACTGTGGTCCTGTGGTACCAGACAACATCCTTGGCTGGCAGGAGGATGTCGTAGTGCTGTTCATGTGGTACTGGTTTTATAGGTATGAGAAATGGAAGATCAAAGGGGGATCACGGAGTCACATGTCAAGGTTCCAGAGCGCCACTCAAGCAGGACAGTGAGTGGCACAGTCGGGGCCATCCTGAGATGCCATGGCATGAAACTGACAGTGAGGCCACGGGTGGAGACACCAGAACCATGGGATTTCTGCCAAGAGTCTGTCCAAGAGCGAGGTGGGTTTCCCAAGCCCTTTGGAGCCCAGATGATTCCATTACTAGCCCCGTATATCAAGCATAGAACCTCAGGATTTGGTGGTTTCCCTCTGGGTTGTGAATGAGAACAAGAAAGAAAAAGGTAAGGAAAGGACATGACTGCTCCCCGGTATGGTGGAGGAGAAAGGTTACTGTAGATAAAAGGGGCAGGGATATCTGGGAGAGTCCAGAGTGGACATGACCAGACTAAGCTGGGTCATGTGGGGAGAAGGAGAGGGGACAGAGAGGAGCCAGGTACAGCAGCCAGAAAGCCAAAGGTACAAAAAGGGCAGGTAACCAAAATGGAGGGATTATATAAAGAAGAGCCTCTGGGGGAAGGACAGCCCAGCCCCTGGGCTAGAGAGTTCAGGGTAGAGGGTGGGGTATGCCAGCCATACCCTGTAACAGGTAGGGACTGAGGTTTAACAAGATATCCAAGGAAGTCTGATTAAGGGGTATAGGGAGTTTACTAGGATATAAATTGGAGAGAACAGCTCACTAAACAGAATAAGGCACAATCATTGCACAGTCCTGGAAGGCTGATGTCCTGTTCAACACTGCTGCTGCCTGAATCAGTCCCCACTGTCCAAGCCCATGAGGGAGAGAAGAGGGCCAGCCCCTTATGTGCCCCTCAGATCTAAGCTAGCCCTGAGGCCACGCCCTAGGAGCTGATACCTCAAGGTCATAGGTGGAATAGGCACCCACTTCACTGAGGGATGCTGGGAAAACCTGGCAGCCAAGTCCACTTTGATGTGTTAAATATGCACCTCAGCCATTTGTCCCAGGATCTGAGACTTAACAGGTGGTAGTCTTGTAATGTCCTCATTCCTCTTTTCTGAATGAAGGTGTTTGTTCTGTGCCATTGTGACTTGGAAATAGGTAGCCTGTTTGTGATTTTATAGAAGCACACAGTTAAAATGTAGCATTAAATCTCAGACAAGAGTTTAGACTTTTGAGTAGTGTTGAGGCTGTTAAGAACTATGGAGACGGTTTTAGAAATGGATTAAATGCATTTTTCATTATGAGATGATAGAGTGCAAACGTAGAATGTTATTATTTAAAGTGAAGTATTTGGGGTGGGACTGTAACTAAGTTGGTAGATTGCTCATGTACCATGCACTAAAACCTGGCTCAGTCTACAGACTAACTGGGTTTGGTAGTGTGTGCCTGTAACTCCAACACTAGGCAGGTAGAGGTAGGAGGTTCAGAAGTTCAAGGTCATCCTCTGCTACAGAGCAAATTAAAGAACCAGGCTGGGCTGTTGTGGTAGTTTGAAAGAAAATGGCCCCCAAATGGAGTGGCACTATTAGGAGGTGTGGCCTTGTTGGAGGAAGTGTGTCACTCTGGGGATGGGCTTTGAGGTCTCAGTTGCTCAGGCTTCGCTCATTTTGACTCTCAGTTACTTTCTGTTGTGTGCAAGATGTAGAACTCTCAGCTTTCTCCAGCACCGTGTCTGCCTGCACACCGCCATGTCCCACCATAATCACAATGGATTGAACCTCTGAACTGTGAGTCTTCACCTCCATTAAATGTTATCCTTTATGAATTGCTGTGGTCATGGAGCTGCTTCACAGCAGTAGAAACTCTAAGATATATAGATATAAATATAGGTATAGATATATCCCACACTCAAAAATAAATAAGTAAAGTGATGTGTTTGGGGGTCAAAGTTGTAAGGAGTGCCGTTGTGGTGGTGACCTTTTGTTGACTTGAATGGACTGACGGTCACTGAGGACACACACTTCAGGGTATATCTTTGATGCTGTTTCAAGAAAAGTTAACTGAAGATGGAAGACTCACCCAAATGTGGATAGAACCATTAATGGGATGGATTCCAGATTGATTTAAAGGAGAAAGTGGGCTGAATATCAGCATTTCTATCCCTCTGCTCTCTGACTGTGGATGCAGTGTGATCAGCTGCCTCGTGATCCTCCTGCTATGACTTTGCTGCTCATTAATTTATATTGATTATTAAGCTGACAGGCTTTATAATATAATCACCAAAGAGACAAACATCTGGAGATGCCAGTGAAGGGTTATCTTAATCAGGCTAATTGAGGTGGGAAGACCCATTCTAAATAGATGGGTGTCCACATTCCCTGGCCTGTGGTCTTGGGCTACATAAATAAGAGAAAGCTAGCTGAGGGTAAGTATTCACCACTGTCTGCTTTTTGATGGCTGATACAATGTGCCCAGTTACCTTATGCTCTTGCTACCGGGACTGCCATGATGGCCTGTGCCCTCAAACTGAGCCAAAATAACCCTTCTGTCCCTTCAGTTGCTTTTGTCAGGGTATTTTGTCACAGCAACAGGAAAAGTAACTAAGATGTAAAAGCAGTACCAGGAGTGGGGTTACTGTGATGAATCTGACAATGTGATTCTTAGGCCTTTGGAACTGGTTTATGGGGCGGGGGGATATAGAAAACTTTGGGATTTGGGGCTAAAAAAATCCCTTGGATGCTGAAAGCATAACTTACGGTGTCATTCTGGTGGGGGTTTGGAAGACTAGAAGGCCACGAGAGAAGCAGACGGTGGTTCATGAGACTTCAAAGAGGAATGAAGTGCCAAGAGCCGTGGCATAGTACAGCAAATGGCAGATAATACTCATGGTGTCACCATACCAGATGAGTAATTCTCTGATGGGAGGACCTCGCTAAGCGTGGCTGCAGGGCCACAGTCTCTGGAATATCGTTTACTTCTGTCTGTAATTTCTCATGTGCTGTTACAGTGTTTCCCTAAACAGCTGTGGGAATTTCCCCACAGCCTCTGTTGTGATGTGTCCATCCCATGAGTATGTATACCCCATCTGCTGGACACGTTTGTGTCTGTGGATGGTCAGGAGATGATTTCTCCTTAAGCTGTATAATTTTGATGAATAGAAATAATACTAGGATATTTTTCATAACTAGGTGTGGGGGACCCACCCCCATTTTCCCCCCAGGGTGCTCTTGAGCAGGGAGAAGTGGGAAGTATTTAGATAGAAATATAGAGGAGAGAGACAGACGGAAACACAGCATAGCCTCGGGAGGGCCTGGGTCAAACCCACCAGCCCCTTCTGTCTCTTCTAAAGGGCTTTTAAAGGAATGCCAAGGGGTGGAACAAAAGACCTCCCCCTTGCTAGATCAAAGCATGCCGCATGGCACAGCCAAGTGCAGACCCTTCCAAACACCTGGTAACCACACACAGGGCCAATCCACCTCCTTATGCAGCCCTGCTGTGTAAAGCAAGCTCAGATCTCACTAAGAAACCTCTGTGGACCCCAACAACTAGGGCTATTGTTTCACGAAGACTGTGAGATACTTAGGGCCTGTTTTATATCATAGCTCAGGCTGAAATAGCTGTATTTCCAGCTCTAAGACAACTGTATACCATTAGCTGATTTAAAGCTTCACAGGAACTTCAGATTAGACCAGGTGCTTTGCCAATAGTTTTTAAGATAAACTGTTCCCAGGAAAAGCAGTCCAGTTCACAAGGACATACTGAGCTATCTGGCTAGGTCATAAATACAAAAAACCCAATTATTACTAGCTGGCAAATGATGTAGTCCTTGCACACACTCCTAACCTCAATTTGTGAAAATATATTCTGACTAGTCAAAGCTACAGAAGATAACTTGACTGTAGCCCCTAATGAGGGCTACAGATGTTTTTAGATAATTGGAAGTTACACGCAGGACAGAAAAATATATTTTAAGATTTAAAATGCTTTTATTGTCACTATGCCTTGGAAAGTGCCTAGTGAGCTTATATTAGGAGATATAAGGTAAACCTGAGTTCCAACCAAAGCATTTATGACCCAGCTCTCTGTAAATACTCGCAGTCAGAGAGAGGCAACTAATCACAAAATGTTAGTTTAAAATGTTACAACACTTAGAAATACAGCATATATATGCACAAATACCTTATTTTGTCTTAGACTCCTCAGTAGTTTGGTTTTATAAAGCTATCTCTCTAAATAGGTAACAATGACTGGTTCTTTCTTTGAAGCTGCAGCTGTGAGATCACAGCTCACCAGTTAAGAAGTTCAGATTTATTACATGTGTGTTGTCAGGACAACTCTGCTTCTTATCATTTACTTAAGAAATGAAATGTGAGCTGGGCGGTGGCGGCGCACACCTTTAATCCCAGCACTCGGGAGGCAGGGGCAGGCAGATCTCTGTGAGTTCCAGGCCAGCCTGGGCTACAGTGAGTTCCAGGAAAGGCACAAAGCTACACAGAGAAACTCGGTCTCGAAAAGCAAAA